GTTTAACGATCAGTTGTGCAAATACAAGTAGGTACCTACTATTTTACTATTAAAGTATTAAATATTATAAACAATCGACAATACTATATAAATCAAAATTAAATACAAGATATGTATGATTTGTTTCATTCGACAATCTGTTTTATTCCTATTCCCTTTATAAATAATTTTTAGAAACTTAACGTCACACGTTCACATAATAATTATATACGCCTGTTCCGAAATGTATAGACCGCCATATACATATATGCATAGGGTATTAAGGTATTTTTTATAAAGTTATACAATTAGTGTAAAATATATGAATAGACAATCATTTATTAAAAATGTATTAAAATTAACAGTCTGATTGATTGTTATAATTAATTTAAAGTAAAAAAAAATATTGTAATGGGCGTTCAATAATCACAATTCTCATAATTTATCAGTGATCATTAATTAGTCATATTGGTTTTATATACAATTACCGATTTGTATTAAAATCCTAATCGCAGATGATAATAAATAAAAAACACACAAATTTGGTGGTCACTCATATAGGCTTCAGAACGGTAAAAAAAATTGTACGTTACCGGTAAAATTGTACGCAGTCGAATTGCGGAACTCGCATATCGTAGGCACTTAGTGTTATCATATTTCCCACCCTTCTGAAAAAAAAAATTGTTGCTCGAGCCACTTGGTTACACGTGGTACCTATCTTAATCATTATCACTGTCGTGTCCGTGCGTGTATCATTATTTTATTTTATTACATTATATTATTGTTTCCTCCCGCGACTAGTTATTATCGGTCACGACGAGCACGTGTGTGTGAAAAAAAATCACGACGTGTGCAACGATAGAGCGCCCATGTAATAATATAATAATCATAATAATAATAATAATAATAATAATAATAATAAGATATAATATTATACTCGCAGCATCGATACCAGTACCGTGGTATTAAATATGTATATATTCTGACGTCGGCGTCGATCGGCCGAGAGCTGCAGCGTACGATCGTTTTTCTTTTCCCCTTATTAATTAATTAACGTATCCGGCAACGGAACGGATACAAGCACACGATGAATGATGATGATAATAATAATATTATTATACACAACAACGCCGAAAATAATAATAACACGCGGTCGTGTAGCGATAATATAATTATTATCATCGTTATAGTAGTAATAATAACAGTAACGCGTATACCTGTGTAAGATTACAAAAAAAAAAAAAAGTTTTTAATTATTGCGAGTTCTCTCCCGCGCAGGCGGCGGCGATAGTAATATTCGTATGATGATAAATAATAACATAACAATATATATACATATGTGTTGCATACTACGCATAGGTATTATATTCTGCTACATGGCCATCGCACGCGTTATTATATTGTTATTAGGTGCAGTATAGTTAGAAAGAGGACTCGTGCGTAACGCACCCATTCCTCCGAGTATGATAATAAATAATGCGGGTAGGTAGCTCACACATATCGGCGATCAAATGGACCGCTTCTATATATATATATGTGTGTGTGTCGTACAGCCTCCGCCGAATCGTCTCCCCCGCTCCGCAAGAGTCTCAGTTCCGGTCACAGTGCGTATGACGTTATATCGCCCATGTCACATTATTATAATGCACCCCGAATCGAATTTTTTGTTCAACCTCTAAGTACCGGACGCCAGCTGAAGTTGTGTCCGCTATTTGGAGGTGCCCAATGTTCAGCGGTGATGCGTATAATGGAGTGACCGCAGTGTTTGTTTTTCCCAAACATATTGTTTGCTTTGTTACAACTAGAAGGAATTCTGTAATCTGATTTTTGCGGATCTTGCTATCTTCGCTCCGTTGCGATGAACACAATTGCTATCACCTAACCTATCTATACCAAGTGATCCATTCGACGAAATACACTCACTGTTTCAATGCTCATAACGCTTTTGATTAATATTTTTAAAATAATTTCAAGTCGTCAATACACGACATTTTTCTAAAAATGTATATTTTTAATATTTTTTTATCGTCATCGTGCACTTTTAATTTCTCACTCCAAAACACAATATTATTTGGAGTACTTCGACAAAATTTGAATTTCGGACGAGTAATTTATGAGTCCAAAGTATTCAAAGTTAGAACTATTAAATTAATTCCTAGAAATTTGATTTTTATAGATCAAAATACTACGGATAACATTCTGCTTCCGATTATGAAATTAAAAATATGTGTTGGCATTCAAAAAATAAGAAAGTTAAAAATTTATAACAATAATAATAATACTTAATTAGGTAGGTAAGGTTAGGTAAAATTAAATATAATAAATAAATGTCTACACCATTTATTATCAACTTTGAAGTAATTAGTACATATTTTTTTATTTCTCTGCGTCGGGTTAACAATCATTATTTGAGATGACCCAATCATTATCGTCGAGTAAAACATAATATTTAAAAGTACCTAATTTATGTAATGAATTAATGTTCGAATTTATAACTGAGGTGTTATTAAGTGATAACTAATAAGTGCCTATATATCGATATAGTTTGAAAATATAGCTAATAAAATCATACATAAAACTCGGTTTGTTGAATAACGACCGAAAATGTTTTATTATTTTTTAATTATTATTTTATATTAGATACTCAACGGTTAGTTTCGTGAATAATGTAAAATGTATTTGAACCTTTTAATTTCGGTCTGGTGCGATGCGGTGTGATTCAGATTTGTTTGTCTATAAAGTTTGGTTCGTAACATCATCTTGGCAATATTAAGAGTTGCATCAATCTACTCCATAAGAGCTCCATAAGAACATTTTTAACGGAAACACGTTTAGGGTTTCGAGACGGGTTTTCCGTGCCTACCGCGATCCAGTGAGCTTTTAACGAGCATTTCGAAAATTCCACTGAAGTGGGTGAAAAAGTCATCGGCTGCAGGGCCTGCAGTGCATTTATACTGCATAATACAATATAGCAGCTAAGTATACTGCAATATAACATACGGCCGTGTGTGATGCGAGCGTAAATGTGATGTGTGTAATGACAAAATGAAAGGGATAATGAGCAGGATTAATGCGATTTTGGCAACGAACTCGCGGGCCGGTTCCCACGTGTCTCCGTCGGCCGTCTACGCGGCGGGTCGCTGGCGGACGAGCGACGGGTGTCCCGGCAGGGGGGTGCGGGGAGCGAGGGAAAGCACCTTGGGCGGGAGGGGCGGTCAGTCTGCATTCCACCGGGCAGGTCGGCCCCGTGACCTACTTATTATCTTCTTCTCCCATATTTATATATACCTGTAGTTGTACATAAGTACCTGAAGCAGCAGCAGCAGCAGCATCAGCAGCTAGGTATATACTCTCGCGCGCGCGCACTACACTCGCTCCGGGCTTAATCGCCTCCCCTCTGTGTACTTTTTATTTCTCCGTGGCACACACACACACACACACACACACACACACACACACACACATACACACTCATAAGTCATCGTCGTAAGTGGAACCCCGTTTTATGGGAACTGGATAGAGTATACACTATACACATGTGTTGGTGGGTGTGTGTGTGTGTGTGTGTGTGTGTGTGTGTGTGCGTGTTAGCAGTGAGTGTGTACGCGAGCCGCCACTCAGTGCGGTGTCGGAAGCGAAAGGAAGCCGCCGCCGCCGCCGCCGCCGCCGCCGACAGGGGCTAACCGAATAACTACTTCCTCCTCTTCCTCCTATGTATAACAACGCGCCATTTGCGTACGAAAAAATGTTATGGAAAGTAAAATAAAATAAAAAACCTAGTATTAATGATCCATTGATATTATTGTACGCACACACACACACGCTCGTCGGGACCACACGTACTACATACGTCTATATATGATATGGGTATATACAAGCAAAGTATAATGTATAGTAACCTCATAATACGCACTGGTTTATAGTTCGTTTTACGGGTACGTTATTAGCATGCCATTGATTAGCGTCGTGTGTACGCAACTAATATATATATATATATATGTAAAATGTGTACAGATCAAACAGACGAGATCGCCGCTCGTTCGTGGTCCTCGGTACGAAATAATTACTATCATTAAAATCGTATCGTATGGACACGTCGTCCGTCGTCGTCGTTTTTCCGATCGAATCGCCGCCGACCGAATGTCGATATCACGCACCGGCCAGATTTCACATTGTTCTGGGTATAATATTATGTATTATATTACGATGTGTATAATATTATTATGTTATTATCCGTCTGGTCCGATTGCGATCTGGAACGCCGAAAAAATTCATTTCACCACAATACGATGGACTTCAGACGGTAAACTATTACATAATAACAAATCATAATATATGATATAAAACGATATCGATGAACATTACGAATAATTATTACGAGCGCCTAGACGTACTGGATTGTAAAAAAGAAAAACCGGCAGCCAGTGTTATATTAGCCATAGGTATAGTTATTATATTTTTATTCGTCGAGATAGTATACATTCCTAATAAAAAATATATATATATGTATATAATTTTGTACACTGCCGCGACAAGATCATTGTCGTTATAGATGCGAACCAACGATACGCATGTATATAAATAATTACATTATATTCAAATATTGCTCGGATAACGTTTCAAGCGGTCTAATTATTTTCATTACAATGAAAGAGAGACACAAGCGTCATAAATAATTCAAATTTTCAGGCTAGCCGGTGAAAACTAAAAGTAATAATAATGTGTTTGCATTTGAAAGAATGTATAATTGCACGTTGAGGTTAGCCTAACCTATATACCTACCTACCTGATATTGTTAATAAAATATGCAACTATATTATACAGCAGTGGATTACTGCGCGAGGCCGAAAAAAAATATGTTCTCGTCTCGGAGAAACGAAGAGTTTGAAAAGTATAAGTTCTCGGCGTCTGTGAATTCTAAATGTTATTATGCCGACGACACGCGACGATTAACTGTAAAAAAAAAAAACAAAAAAACAAAAACGCACGTTTTTAAGTACAAATTAATAATAATGCAAATGTCTAGGCACAGATAGTAATAATATAACATTATTTAATTTTACCAAAATATGTTTAAGTGAATCGATATCGACGATATAACATAATGCAATATTATCAGTTATTATTTAAATCGCTATCGATTTCGATTTTCTGCTTATTTCCGCGGTCGTTGTGCAGCATGGGGTGCTTGAAATTGTTACTTCCGGTTCCGGTTTTCTTGTCGCCGGCCGCTACCGTTTTTGTACCGTAGTACAGCGGGATGACGGCGGGACTGCAATCGTCCTGCACCATGGGAAAATTGTACTCAAGTTGGACGCCGTACTTGGGCAGTTTGTCGTGTACGTAACTGCGTACGTTTACCGGCACAGTCCTGTTCCTGGACAACAGGATACTGGACAGATACCGCGGGCTGGACGGTTTCTCAGCGCAGTGCAAAAGCACCGCCCACGTGTCCTTACAGTCCAGCACGAACGTGTTGTAAACGCCTTCGTCTAGAAAATCGCATAGTGGTCGTCTTTGAGTTATAATTATTACAGTCACTTTAAAAATGTAATTCGTCTGCGATTGCAAAAATAAAAAGTTGCTTTGACGTGAACAAACGGAATTAGTTATTTAATTACTAATACTAACCAATACTTAATTATTGGCTTACTTACAATTCACAATCATTTTATCTCTAACATAGGCGCAAGTGCAGCACAACTGGGAAAAGATATTTTGATTTTAAAAATATTATTTATTTATATTATTCTGAGCTATATAGTCACCACAAATCGACATTTACCAACTTCCGTGAATTTCTTCAAATGTTATATGCTAATTAAAAATTGTAATGTAGTCGATTTGTGTCCCTTTTATGATTATAAAACAACGTTAAATTAAATTTGCTTATTTCCAATATAGGATTGCGTATAGTACCTATGTTGCAAAAATAAGTACCTTGGCCCTCAGTGTCTATTATATGTTCCATACATGGCGGATTGGTTGTAAGCGAGCTACCGATAAAATCTCTGTGGGCCGCTTAAAGTTTTGGCCGGTCGTGTGATTGTGGGTGAAAATAAATTCATGTTTGAAATACTATTAGCTACCTGTGATATCGTAACAGTTTTAGACGTAATTTTGGACCAGTGAACATTTAAATGTAACTCTTATAGAATCAAAAATCTCGATGGGCCGATACATACCAATTCGGCACTAGGTACGATAATTCAAAACTATATACAGCTCTAAGTTTTGACTAAATATCAACTTTAACTGTATAGTAGGTATATGTACTATTATTATGTTGTTCTTGTTCATTTTCTATTCTGATCTATTTTTCGTTTTCTGAACTAAGCGACTATTAAACAATAATGCAGTGTATCACAAAATTTCTCTATTCAGCTCTTTCACCTATAATCTTTTGAAAAGGAAACGAATCTGTGTGTCTTAATAATTTATCTCCTCGTACCGTCTATATGTTACTTGAAATGTTTGATTTGGTGTCAAATAAATATTACTATTATATCATTATCGTTATGTAACACTAAATCGTTCCAAACGGATGTAATAAAATACTCTATTTATCAATTATGTAATATCGTAATGTGCCATACACGGTGTTTCCATGTGAACCCAATGACCGGGAAGTTCGAAGCTTGGTATATTCCACGTGATGTTGCCGGTCAGCATCTCGTTGTCCGGGTCGTCCGCGTAGCTGTACGTAAAGTCCATGGAAATCTCCGGCGTGTCCGGCGATAGATTGAACGTCGACCTCATGCACCTGTAGATCTCCACCTCTTCGGAACTCGCGTAGTACTCAATCACGTTCCACGGACCTTTAATCTGAAAATCCGATTTCGTTTCATTTACATTGTAAGCAAATCGTAGTATACTGATCGTGCATATATTATTTCGACATATAGGTAGGTATTATTAATATAGACGTAACGATACATATTTTCTGTACATTACTACATTATAATATATTATATATCACGTGAGTACGTGACAGTCGGTGCAATGATCGTATTACACCCCGCTGAACGCATGTATTATTGGTAATGGTAGTATCGACGCGTTTGGATGGGGGGGGGGGGGAGGGTTACTACATTTTAGCAAATACTTAACACTTGTTTTTTCAATCAGCGGTAAATCAAAACAATCGCAGTTCTCGTTTTATAACTAGTTATCATATACTATATAGTACCTACTGTTTTATTAAAAGCAAATTTATTGATCACACATCATATTTGTCACGCCGTCGCGAGGATTACTGCAGTGTTTAATAATAATAGAGAGCGTGACTACAAAATAACGTTAATAGATAACGCAATCAAACATATACGTAGGCATACAATAGTTGCTATGAAAACTATATTATAGGAACCTTAGTATCCCATACACAAATGTATTATCGTTTTAATTCAGAATTGCAATTCGTTAGAAAGGATTGAGGTGTACGGATTGTTTTGGAAAATACATAAAAGTAAAAGGCTGATAAAGATATGAACTAAAAATATGTAGAGGAATAATTACCAACAGACCCTCTCCACACTTTGACCAATGTGCACTATATACGAGTATGGCTACGATGGTAAAAAACTTTATCATTTGACTGCACACGCCATAATAACTAACGGCTGTATGAACATCTGAATATCAAATAACGTTTTTTGTAGGAACATATTATTGGTACACACGTACATCACATGTATTTTGAATGTGTATGCACATATTATTATTGTGGATTATTTATATTGAATAAAATGATTTTATAATAAAATATACAAAAAATCGTATTCAAAATTATTTTTGCTTGTGACCCTCCTAAATTTAGGTATTTTAACCGATTTATAAGACACTTGTACGAGTGTGAACTTAATACATATTCTTAAAAAAATGAAAATCGAATTTAATACTATACCCTATCTTCTGATATTGTATTAGTACCTACTTTCTGTCTCGCATAAATCGGGGTTTTTTTTTATATAACAGTTGTTTTTATTGTTTAAATGATTTGCAATTGCCTAAACTGAATTAATCGCAAATAGAGTACAAACAAACCACATGTGGGGAAAACATATGCACTATAGTATTACACCATAAAATCGATCGTGTCTTCCTGTTAGTCGAGAAGCTAGGTACTTAATCATGAAGCTTAAGTTCAAACTTATTCCTTGGGACTTATACTTAAACTTCCTAAAATATAAAAGTGTTCTTAACATTCAAATCACACAATTTCTTTAATAGTTATTTACAATTAAATTCGCTACGAGTAACAGCAAGTGTCAGATGTGTGTAGTACTGTAGTTGATACTTAAAAAAAAACAATAGCATTAATCAGTGTATACTTACTTGAAATATTCAATTGTTTACTACCTACATTGAAAAATTACAGTAAATTATTTAATCATAACGATGATTTACTGACAATACTTTAAACCAGATGAGTGAATGATGACTAAAACTGTATATTTAAATATTTTAGATTCTGAGTGGTGCAATAAATTAATATTATATCGATTTTATAATAATATATATATATTTTTGTTTTTGGCTTTTGTCACTTTTTGGATCAAAAAAAATTTAGAAAAACTGACATTTTTACGCAAAACCAGTTTTCAACATAACCGATTTTTTTATTTTATGGTTATTAAAATATACCTACAGATAATTGAAATGTTCACCATTTTATACTCTCTTAACAACCCTCGTGGTGGACAGTTTGCCTTAATAAAGTTGTGATTATACATCATATTATGTGTATATCGTATATATTAACATTTTCTATACGTATTATAATTTCATAATATTTTGACATTTTTTGAGCTATGCGCAATTTTCAATATTTTTTTATAAATATCGATAAAAATCACCAAAATCATGAATTTGCAAACAATTTTGTAGCTGATAGTGAAAAATATTATTTTTGAAAACTTAAACTTTTACGTGGACTATTATATTTTATGCACACAATTACACTTTCGGAACATTTAGATAAAATGTATGGTATTTCCTATTATGTTATAGCACAAAGTTCTTCACACTTTTCTGTGTTAAGAGGACGTCGTATTACATATTATTATGTTGTCTACTAAAGCATGATATATTCCAAAACATACGTCCAGCAGATCCGACTTTGTATTGTTACTTGTTAGCTTAAATATTACTCTAATATTATTATTTATATATTCACTCCGAATTAGCCCATTATCAAACTTAATCATTAATCATTAGTAGTAAAATGAATGACTATTATATTAGTATAATAGCAATAGAAAATATATGTCATAACATAAACTAAGGCTGGCCGACGTCTTCGCTCAAAATCGTTTTTGTATATTTCGTTTGGTCTATTAATTTATCATTGAATTCAAATGTAACTCATACATTACAGTGTCTTACTCAATAGTCAATGATGAGGTATACTCGACACCTACTGTTCAGCAGATTGGTTACCTTTTTTGTTTACATATAACGATTAGTGGTTACAGTACAGCCCATTGTAAAATGAATTTATGAAATATTTTATTTAAAACACTATTATTAATGATCAATTAATTGATAAAAATAACAAATACTTTTTAAAACGTGCCAACTATGAAGCTTAATTAAATTACTAATATAGTATTGAAGTTTAATATCTATATAGTAATCATAACACACGATTTAAAATGTGAATATTTTTCCTCAATCCATAATTGATTGAATACTCCGAAAAATAAAATGTTATATAATATTAACTTAATTAAAGTAATAATTATTTTAAACAGATAATATCCTTAAATCGTAACTATTAACCACTGAACAATATTAATTGTAAAGTTAAATATGTATATAAATATAAATAACATAGCATAATATAGTTATATAATATATCATGTGCATATACATAAATAACATAGTGTAATATAGTTATATAATATAGTATGTACTATATGTATATAGATAATAAATATATAACTTTGAAGTATAAGAAATTATACACACATATATAAAAATAATTAACTGTATAAAATAAAAAATTGAATAAAACAAACTAATTGTTGTAACTAACGTCGTTCAGAATGTAAAACGTATACCATTATTCAACCATACTAACCATACTCCGATCTATAATCGTATTAAACTTCATATGGGCACATGGATAATTACAAATTTGCTACCTAATCTACACAAGTTCAATTTAGGACTCACCAGAGTCCCTCGTGTACCTTCTCAAACTGCAGTAACTGGTAGAGAATCTTGTGACTTATTTCACTTGCTATTCAACTCTCTCTCTTTCAATAAACTCAATTTAAAAATAATAATGTTCTTCTCATTGGACTAACTTCTCCTAGGTATGTCGATGGTTTACCCCCCTCGAATAGTGTCATCCTAATTTAAAACGTCCTTAAAAAATTTTTCCAAGGTTAGTTTTCACTCAGATTTTAAAATTTAATTACTATGGCCTTTACACTCACTACATATGATTATTATTTATTGTATATTATGTTCACTATTGTTCCTTATATAATTTCTGTTAGTATTTTATTAAATCAAACAATTGTTTTCACTCTTTTTATTTGTATCATATTATTTCTTATTTCATTGTGCCTGTAAACATAACTATAAAGACAATAGTTTTGACTAAATAAAATATTTTGAAGTCCGTTTCACTCTGGCATCGATATAATAATCATTTGGAAAATAAAATAAATAACAAATCAAATAGTGCACAGTCCACACAATAAATTATATGAATATTAATTAATAATATATGCGTGATTTACGGTAGGAGAATGAAATAAAGTTTTTTTTATAATAGTCGCGCTTAGACACATTTATAAAATGTAAAAGCTTGGACGAGTATTATTATCGTTACCACTTACTGTACTTATATATATTTTGTTCTACATAACTATATTAATTATTAGTATTAATATGTATATTAACACATAATTGAATATAGTTCTTACTGCGTCTAGATCACAATTGCTTCTGGCCCTGACTTCTGGACACTTCTCGTCGTTTTTCGGTAACTTATAACACGACGTCGAGTGGCTGAAACCGAAAATAATGCAAAATAAAACTTTTACCACTTTAAAACACGCCATAATAATATTATACGACGATGAATAAAATGCACTTGTTAAATTGTATAATTCGTGAAAAAACTGGTTCAACAACGCCGAACGTGTCGCCGTGGTGGTACATATCATGTTTTATCAGTTATCTCCCGATATCCGGTATTCAAATGCGCACAATAATAGTTGTAAATAATAACGTCGTTTCGATAAATACAAATATTTATCATATTTATCAGTTTATCACTGTGTCCACATAACAATTTCGACATTTCGTGTATACGCGATCAAAGTTTTCGGTTGCACCGATAGTAATATGTCATAATTTCTCAACAACAGTTCTGAAATATGTATAGGTGCACGTTGACCTAGTTTTTGCAGTGCCTTAAAATGAGAACTGGAAACGAACAGGATGAAATTAATGGTATTTGTCTATGAATATTATTGGTGTGTGTGTGTGTGTGTGTGTGTGTGTGTGTGTGTGTATGTTATTTTTTCGGGAGGCCTCTTTAAAAAAAAAACTGGTTCTGCGTTGACCATTAATTGGAATACTCGTTTAGAGCACCGGAATTGCTGTGATTTTTTTATTTAAAGTTTATTCCAGCTCATTGATATCGTAGTCGGACACCTCTGAAATACCCATTGTATTATTTATAATAATTCATTGTTATTGTTCAGTTTCAGTTTAATATTTCAATATTTGTCTCCACCGGTAGTGCTGCACGCTTTATCTGCTGCACCGCGGATCCCAAAGACAATAACATACAACGAATTTCGTAATGTCATGTACATTTTATTATTATATTATTTATATAACCTATGTATATTTCCTGTTCTGTACCTAAACCTCGAATGTATTACCTAATTGTATTCAAAGGGCACCACCCGTTAATTGTTAATAAATAAATGAATATCACTTTACTACGTTGCGCTGCGCTGATAGGCTCGAGGAAAAATTACAGATACTCGCAAATGTGTTTGTGTGTGTGTCTCGGAGAAAGCACAAAACGTTTAAAAAGTGTGTGTGTGTGTGTGTGTGTGTGTACATAAGACGTTTTATTATATGATGGTAGTCCCCGAATAATATATATATATATATATATGAGCACATAACATCGCGGACAAGAGGTCACGACAAAGATGTAGACAAGACGTAGTCTCATCAATTCGAGATTGTTACGAAAATGTATACCTAATAATATACAATAATTGATGGCGGTGGTAACAGCTGTTATCATTATCATTATGTTTGATAATTGGAGATGCATAATATGCTTGTAAAATTGTGATAATATTTTTGCAATAATATATTTTTATAGTTTTAATCATTTATTGTTATTATGAAACATTGAAACGTATGCTGATCACAGATTACTTCCGGAAATCCTTTAAAATTATTGCAGCAGTGCAGCACCATAAAATTAAGTTATGTGTCAATGTATAGGTACACGTTTTTTTTTTTTTTTCATCATCAAGACAGCAATATGATAGATGTTTTATTTGAAATTGATTTTCAGGTATATAGTTTAATATTTGATTGTTTTTGCAATGTTATTTTTCGAAAAACTGAAATAAAAGATGAAAAAAAAGATATTTGTACTACTTAATATATTAAAAGCATCTATAAATGACAAACATTGTTTAAGGTACACCATTATATCTAATACAAATACTAAATAGGTATCTATATCTACTGTTATTGATAAAGTCACGGTAATTGTCTATACTTCGAAACTTCCAGCAATATAACTAATGTTAGTAGACAATTTTCAAATCCCTATGATTAGCAATACTCTAGTTAGCAATACGACTAGGTCACGAAAAAATAAATGTTTTAATTGTATATTATATGAAATCATATATCATATATCAAAGTGCCATGATTTAATGAATAAAATTACAAATCGTGATGTTGTTGTAACACTGAAGATGTTATGTAAACCAAGTGATGTATGTTTTATGCAAAATTATAGGGAACAAAGCAGATCAAGAGATAAAACATTTTTGTTTACAATATTTTATGGCTTAAAAGTACTCATTATTAAGTTAACTATATGGTAATCGTTGATTTTAATTGCAATGACATTAAATTGAAATGGCATTGATGAGATAAGCATAAACTAGGGATTCTGTTTTCTGGAGTAGGTTCCTAGTAGATATCTAACTAATATTAATATGTAAAATTTAATAAGTACTAAGAATACTCATGTTATATTTTAACTACCTAACGTTTTGAATTTTATTACGAAAATCAAAAGTCAAGATATTCGTTTTAGCTTGTGCAACTTAAACATAAAATATTAAATACAGATAGAAAATAAATAAGTTCTCCTCAAAACAATTTTTTTTTTACGACTCGTAAAATTTAAAATAACAACAATTATTCTACGTACCACTCTCCACTGATCACTGTCATGTCCTACTAAGTTTTTAAATGGATATTTGTATGTTTGGCAGTTCATTTTGTTCAACTGAAAATTTTAGTAGTATTTTAACTTAAAATATTGTTAAATCTACAAACAATAAAATATTTATTGACAATCGAATATGCTAACATTTTTGTCACTAAAAAAACGATGAGTTCATACAGTGTATAATAATAAATAAGTGTCTAATTAATGAGCCGATTTGTTTAATAATATATTAATTCATCATTATATACTTATACCATATAATATATATTATATTAAATAGACTTAATGTAAAAATATTTTTTCATTCAAGTTGCCTAGACGTATTTTAAGGGAAGTGGCCAAACTACTACAATTATGTCCCACTTTCTCAATGATTCTACTAAGGATGCAAGAATGTTCCGAGTAATTTGTCCTCTTTCTTTTTTACTAAAATTGTATTTAAGCTAAATTACATGTTAACAACAACTAGATAAATATTTAGTAAACAGAATCAGTTAAACTAATCATCATATTTGTTTAATGTGATTACGTTAATTGGTTTTTATTAATTTTTAAGCATAAAATATGTTTTTGTTAATAGGCTGTCGTTTTTAATCTAAAATTCATCTTTAGAAATCAAAATCATAATTTTATAAAAAAAATATATTTATTGTTAGAATCAATAATTGTTATTTAAGTATAAGTATAGCCAGAACATTTATTAACAAAAGTTTTTTTTAAATATAAACAAATCGTAATAATAATAATTATATTTTTATCCTATATTGAATAATCACAACACACCAATATAAAAATATCTAATAATATTGGTAAGTAAGTACTAAACTAATATTTAGAATAAAATAATAAATAAAATATAATATGATACTATGATTGGCACAGTAAAAATCGTACCTGCAAAATTTCAGCTTTAATTTGAAATTTAATATGATTGCCCTGATTTAGTATTTTACACGAGCGATTTAATCGATGCTAAATGTAATGCTTTCAATAATTTTTTTCATACCTCGTAAAAATAAAATTGTGTATTTTAAGTAATAATAATATGATAAAGGCATGACATTGATAGTTTAGGTTAGGTATCATACTACCATCACACAAAAATCGATCTAGTACTGACAATAAGTCTGGTATTTTACAAATTCTTTATCCATATACGAGTAGTTATTCTGAGCTAAAAAAGTATAATTATGGTTGCTAACTAAAAGTGATGTGAATATGAAGTGTGTACGCTGATAGTAAAAAGTGATTCTTTGTATAAAATAATGGGCATAAAAATGTAAAAACAGTGATTGTTACAAACAACCTGAACAATATTACAGTTTGAATTAAAATGTTTATTTTGAATTAAAGTAAAAAATAAATGGAACAGTTAAAATCGTTTTTTTCTAATTATTACCTACCTAAAACAATTTAAAAATCACATTTTTTTTTAGCTAGATATATTCCAAGATGACTAGAGTTCTGGATACATCCAAAAATATAGGTATCTGTTGAGTTATGGGCAGCTATAGTAATTTTCTCATACATAGAAATATTGTACATTATTATATTATATATTTATAAACTATACTTATATACATACATTGCATTGTTGAAACGCTAATGCAATTCATTAAAGCATATTATTATTTTTCTGTAAACATGTTCCAAAAGCGGTCAACAAAGGTGTACCTATACAAAGATGTTTAGACGTATCTGTCGTGTTATCATTGTTTACGATTATAACTTAAAGCCTATGCATAGGTGATTCCGAACTTCTTAAAGTCGATTATATAAATTATTTATTTAATTTTAGAACCATAAAGTGTGTTCCACTTTCGTATATAAGCATGATCGTATCAATATGCAGTGCTTTTCCCATAATTGTTTTTGTTTTTTTTTTTATACGAATAAAATACGTCGAATTTAAAATGAACAACTAATAGAAATATTACAATATTATAACTAAATCTAATTTCAAAGCACAAAAATATTCTAAGGAAAAGTGAATTCTTTTTAGTTCATCGTGATTATAGACACATTCGTAACATATATTTTTTATTCATGAATGTGGACCATAGGTAATAGGTAGTTATAATAATATATACAGTGGCAACTGGCATGAATATCGTAGATAAACAACTTTGCTTAGTTTATATTCTCTTTTTCGGTCGGTTCGAAATTGTTTATAATTTATAACTCCACATTATTTTTCGTTTAATTTAAAATAACATATTTTACAATGCATACAGAACATATTAACATAAAATATAACATGATATATTATATAAATTCGAATTTGGTCACCGTATAGTTATTATTTTTTATCACCGGTTGTTATTAAACACCATTTAAAAACTATACAATATATTATATCCTCATTATTCAGAATTTAAATTAAACTGAAAAAAAATATTTATAACCCACAGCTGTGTATTTCAAACACACGTGCGACCTACTGTACTTAAAGACCTAAAAATTAATACTTTACCACGACAATTTAGACATATATTTTATAAGCATCAAGCAAATTATACGTAGGGAACTTGCAAAAAATTAAAAATTGCAAACATGAACAATTTACTATATAGTAAAAATAATATGATCTGTCGATGTCAACGTATAGGGGCCTGATTTGGATAAGCCCAAAAAAGGTCAAGTGCAATTAGTCCAATACAAAATAATCTGAAAAAATTAAACGTTGTGGTTAAAACTGTAGAACCGTAGATTGTAGGGACTTGAAGTTTTCCCCAAATATTCATACTAGCATTTATAATATATCACTTTCAAAATATTTTGGATCTTTTTCTAAAGATAACTTAAAAAAAATTTGACATTTTTCAGATTTTCTTTTAACTTATGTCCGTCATACATAAATATACGTATATGATCATTAATCGATAAGTGATAACATTTTTTTTTCAATCAATCGTCCTTACAATTTAATACAACGTTTCTTATAAATTATTCTATTCTTACACATAGGTAATTAAATATATAAAAAATACAAAGTTTCAATTTTTTTATTAGCGTTAGAGCTCAAATTTTAATAAAAATCGTCATAATCACGATAGTTTCAAATTATTTTCTAGTTCAAACTGCACAGCAATTTAAATTTGAATACTCGAGATTTGATAATTTTATACACGATTCATCGTAATTTCGTTTTTATTTTAATTTAAAAAAAGTTTTTCGTAAAGCCTCATACATTTTTATCAGTGATTGATGTACACAATTTGACGACATTGGAAAATAAAGGATTCAAACTATTTTTGGTGTCATAATGTTACTATTTAGCATATTATACTGTATAATTATAAATTATATTATACTAACATGATATAAGGCAATTAAATTCAATATAACTTAAAAGGCGATGGAAGAGTTGGACATTATCTATGTACCCAGTACTCAGTAGGTTATTCATTGGACTTGTGGTGGATATAGTGGATTAAAGAATAGCGCTAAATATCTGCCCGACCAATTTGAACTTTGGAATGTATTAGAAATAGGAGGGTAATCGTTTTTGCCGGATAAGAGATTGTTTAGGAACTTGAAATATTGTAACTAAAAACTTGGGTCTTAATAGCTTGAAAGTGTAGCAAAAAATTTGCTCATAGGTTTTTCTTATACAACTATTACCTACCTAAACAATATCGAAAATACATATGCACAAATGTCTTTTTTGATTTCTAAACATATGTTTCTATAGCCTTACATCCCCGTTGTGTCAGTCCATTAATTAATTACCACTTACCAGTACATGCTACTTAGTTACGATTGCTGATGTAGAGATGTTTATTTATTGTCCGTAGTTACTGTACATGGCCACATAGGTACATTGTATATGGAAATATGGAGTTTTCATTTTTTGCATATTTGCATTGTTTTAAAATATGTCTGGAAACCGGAAATTTAACACGCTCGCAGATTTAGCTTTCCTTACTTGTTTATTTTTATGCTTAGTAATTTGGTTTCAAATGTTAACGAAATCGGATATTTAAACGAAAAACAACGATTTTAGTTAGAGACACGAGACTTTTTGATTTTTTCCATCACTTACTCTATAGTATTATTATTATTACCTATTAATTATCCATAAATAGACAATGATATTTTCAATAAAATAATGTAACGTACTGTATTACTAATGGAAAAATATATAAAATATCTTTATAGAAATATAGGATGACAGACCGTCTACGTTCAAAATCGTTTTCATATGCAATGATAATGTTATATCATAACATTCATTACATCAATTACAGTAACCTACACAATTACGATGTGCAAAGATAGTTTCCAGTCTTTTTTTTAAATGTATACGTTGTCTTGCATTTTAATTAGGTAGGTATTATAGTTTGTAACATTTCGATTTATCGATTTGTATGAAATATCTACGTTAAAATAATATTTATACGAATATTAAGAACGCCGTTCAAACAAAGATCAGAGTTTAGTTATTGTGACCAATAATATGTAAACAAGCTAGTAGATTAAACATTTGAAGATTTCTTATGGATTAAAATTAAAACAAAATCAATATAAGTTTTTCATAGTAGGTATGTTGTTGCTCTCTAGTAGATAAATGTCCAACTACATACAACTTGTTATTAATTTATACATTCTACATTACTAGGTTGCAGCATGAATAGGATCATTAAAATACTTGATTCGCTGTCATATAAGTAGTATAATATTAATAAAATATATTTAAATCCTAGTCAATGTCCGGGTTAACTTAATAAAGGTTTCCTTTTAAAAAAAGTCATTTTTAAGTTATGGTTTTTTTAGTTTACAGTTAGAACAGTTTATTGGAGGATAAGTAAAATGTTCTTCTACAAATTAATCGTCGATGATTTGTTTACCGAATTTAGGTCTAATTTGTCTACATTCTATTTTATTACTTCTTTGTCTTTGAGAACGTTTTCTAGTAGGTTGTTAAAAAGTTACAAAAGTTACACTTTTGTTCCACCGACTCATTGCAAAAAATGTAACAAATAATATTTTAACGATGCAACACAAATTACTCAGTTGCATTAGTGTCTCGCAAGACACTTACACTTACTCCTTGAATATAAATTATATTGCATTAACACAATATGAGATACATGATTTTTTGTGATAACTTCTAATTAGTAGTAGTATTTGTGTTGTTTGATAAATTGAGTACACCAGGAATACGGCGTTTACAATAATTCAAACAATCAAACATCAAAAATATTATTTTACTTGAAATTAATATCTTCGTTAATGAATACTAAGCCATCAACAATCAATGTAAAATTTAATGAGTATTTTTTTTTTGTTCTCCCCATCATAGCGCTGTAAATAAAGTAAAATCATACAACAAAAATTATTTCTCACTTGTTTCCTTGAAAATATAATTATTTGTGATGATGTGATATTTTATCATATAGACGCGATAGTCTATGTGCTTCATAAAAAATGATTAAATATTTCAAGTAAAATTTGAAAGGGTTTGAATAATTTTTATAATTTGTGTTCAAATTAAAATTACATACAATTACCATTGAATAAAAAAAACTTAATGCTATTACTAATTACTACATAGAATATACATTATACATACAAAGTATACTTACACTTAAATATTATGATAAAAGAATACAAAAAAATAAATGTATAAAAAAAGCATAAGAAGTTGCAAAGTTACAAATATTTTACCGAGTACAGAATAAATTAAATAAGTTGATGAAAATTTGTCTTTGCAGAACATTTAACCAGAAATTATTAAATCTTCGATTGTCAATATTGTCTGCAGTGGAACAGAAAAGAATTTGATTTAATTACGTTATTATTAATATCATTATCAAACACACATAATGTATTGTGTAAGCCAAAATCAGAAATCGTATATTGGAATTATAAATAAAAAATACAAAAATACAAAAAAAGTCTACGCTTTACAGTATAAACCTAAACATTCATTTAAATACAAATTAATGCTAAATGTAAAATAATTATGAGTAAGTAGGTGCCTATATTATAAGTTGACGATTTTATCAACTTTATATACCTATTTTCGAATGTAAACATATTATAAACACATAGAAAAAAAATCTGTCATAGATAACTTCTATAATAATAGTAGATAGGTAGTCTTAACATTTTTCAAATATAATGTCTTCAAAAGTATAAATTATTAAACCTTAGAGAATTAACACTTCATTCATAATAATCAACATAATATAGTATATTATATAAATATAAAAGTGTCCACATGCAAGAATATTGCTATTTTTCTATAGTTTCTATATTTTATTAATTCAATACTATTTATGTTCTTATTTTTCTAGAAAGTACGAATAAAGTAACATTTGTATAAGTATTTCAATTTTCGAAGCTTCTATAAGGTAGGTGTAGCAAAATTAAATGAACCCACGTATTTGGATCCATTGAATGTAGTTGAAACTGTGATTAAATACTCGCAATGTGGTTTTAATGAAAATAAATCAAAATACGGCACCTAAAACAATATTACACGACAGTTAATAATTAGAAATATAACTAGGTAAATAGGTAATTAACGTTTGATAATAGGTATTGTGTTAGAAAATGAGAAAACATAAATTTAAATAAATTTACATGTATATAATATTGCACATGACATATAATATTATGTGCGTGTGCAGGTATATGAATTAAAAATAAATAATTGAATGATAATTTAGTAAACGGTAATACAAATTATAAATTAAATAAAATCTGTTTTATTTTTTATTATTGTTAAAAAGAAATGCTTTGTATAATATTTTAGATTAGTATAAGTACTGCTGACAATAAAGTCGATATACTATATTATAAGTTATAACATTGGTTCTCAATCTGGCTGACACGGACCCAGCATAATGGTGACGTAAGATATCCACGAAAAAAAAGAGAATTATTAATTTTTTTGGTTAAAATTGAATTATTGCCACCGTCAAGTAATCGCCACCAACAGAGCAACGGAACGACCTAATAATAAATATAATACGTAGTATTATGTTCATTATTATTTAAAAAAAAAAAATTTAATTTTTTAATTTGTCCATTTAAAGTAGTGTTTATTGAACCCTGCAATTCAATTAAAGTGTATGATTATCATTTTTCTGAGTACTGTATTTTTTTCCAATTCAATGTAAAACACTCACACGACTTTTAAAATGTACAATTTAAATTTTATAATGTATTTATGTTAAGGCGACAAAGTGTTGAATAATATAGTGGCTAAGAGTGATGTGAGACTGATAAGGTCGAGAACCACTGCTATATAAGAATATAAAATATTAAAATGTATATTCCGTAATAACATATTACTTGTTAATGTATAATAAATATTATGTATATTATTATTATTTGATATCAAAAGACAACAGGGTCCAACTAAAAAAATAATTCACTTACTCGAGTTCTTGCTCTTAATGGCTTGCTCTCATCGTGGCAATCTTTTGAAGACCACGACAAAGTGTAATGGAATTTCTTTAATGTCATAGTAACTGGTCTCCAAGATAGTCTAGCGTTAATTAAATTACGGCTGTCAGGATTGCCTATAACTACAATTTTAAGTCCCGTGATTTGTTTAGAATTTAATATTTTTTTTCCTGAAACGATAAATCAAAAACTGTTATTCAATATTAATATTATAATAAAATCATTTTTTAATTTATTATGCTTGAAAGATATTAATTATTGAGTCTAACCTCTAATTACAAGTCTTAATGAATCAATTTAAATTCAAAATATTTCAAATATTCATTGAGAACTGAGAGGTATATAACTATATAATGTTATATAAAACCAGAAATTCCTAATTATTTTTATTGGATTTCAACAAATCGTTACAAGTATTCAACACATGATGGACCTATTTAATGCATTTTCATTTTAGAAAACTACGTACGGAAAATATCGAAGATCTAAGAAACTGCATTTTTGTTCTAATACATTGAGAATATTTTTTAATTAATGGTTCTACTAATATTTGCACACTTGAACTATCGATAAAATGTAGGAACACAATACAATTTAAGCAGTTGCTATTAAAATAAACAAAATTTTTTTTTCGATCGATCGAAAAAAACAGATGAGAATAAATAAAAATATAATTTAGGAGACAATAAACCATAAAGGTGATTGATATTTGTGAACAGGGTAGTATTGCTGCACCGTAAAACTCGGCGTACGTTGCTGTAACGCAAGTTAAAGGTACATTTAACCAAACAAAATTACCCATTTAATATCGCCTTGATATTTTGATAATCATCACTTCAACGTTATTTCATAAAATTTAAGTACTAACAGATGTGCATGTAATCATAAAATTCGAGATAAAGTTGGGTTACGAGTTCTTGAGCATTGCGTTCCGACAACAGAACTATAGACCTATGGAGAGTAAAAACAGATTGAAAAATAAAGAAATATTCAATATAATGTCATGCCGATAAACCCTGAATTCTACAAACACATAATAATATTTAAGTGTATAACATGGTTAAATAGGTACATATATTACGTTTTCATTCACCTTTGGTTTTCAGGGTTGTCGAAGCCTTTTGACCGGCGAATCTTTTTCTTCCGAATTCGCTAATGGCTTGCACTTGAAGAAAATATTCGGAATTTGAGTTCAGCTTTTTGATTGTAAACCTCAAAATATCCTAGCCAGAGGGGGAAAAAAAAAAGTATATAATAATGTTTTTCATACAGATAAATGACGTCATCGTGCGACAAAATAATAGTTGCGAAACACCTATCTTGTTACGTGGTCCATTAGGATAAGTCGAGGGTAGTTCTATTGTTATATATTGTTAAATATAATACTGTTCTATTTATAGTGGAGGGATAGTTCACGAGACCTCAGTACATTCATTTCATTCGAACGATGCATGTTGTCTTGGGCAGTATTTCGATTTGGACATTATGCGTAAGTACATTTTTTTAGGTAAATCAATTTATATAAACTGGTTATTTTAATTTCGTTCAATACTATGTAGATCTCAACAATAATTAAATTTACCCCGAAAAAAAAAACTCCGCGTAAATGAACATAAAATATGAGTGCGTAAGTTAAATAATATTATTTGTTTAAATAGAAATCTTTTACTTCCAAAATGTGCTGATTTAAAAATAAATAAAATCTAAAGATGCTAATTTTTTTACCAACATAATATAGTACATATATGAATTTCCTGAATTGAAATATGGGTCTGATATGATGGCATTCTCTATATGGTCAATACTCTGTATACTATGATATATTAAAATTTCGTTCGTACATATTTTGTTCTTTTCTCACTCATAAAAAATTATTATTGAGTTTTCAAAAGAAACTTATAATATTTATGCTATTTTTTAAATGTTTATACAAAGTATATAGGTACGCATAAATATATATTATTTCCATTTACCTATACGATCCTATGATGGGTAAAAATTAAATAATTCTACTTAAAAATGTAAATAGATCATATTATGCTTTTGATAAAAACTATACAATTTTTCCCATTAACTCAAAGTTATTCCAATGTCACATACAGTGCTCTATATTTTTTAACCACAACTGGCAGTAAACGCATTATATGTTTTGATATTTTTGGCGACGGTCTTATCGTACCTTTCGTGTGCGATGAATAAGTTAGTTAAGGTTTTAATTTCACTTCAAGCTTATCGTAATATAAGATGAATAAAAAATTAATGAAATGCCTGTCGGGCAAAAACATAAATAATAATTATAAATCCTAATCAAATATTACCCATGATTTTAACAAACTTAATCTTTTACAGTGAAACGTACGCCTTAGCTTAAAAGAAACAAACAGATATAATTTTTTTTTTTTTTGATACTTAATTTTCTACTTTGTATATTTTAGTTACCTCCCTACTTAAGACAGAGCACTTGTACGTCCCGCTTATTTAATGTCTTTGTCTATCCGTAACCTTTACACATTAGGTACTGAAAGTGTATTCAAGTAATCCAACATTAGACAGAAAATATAAAAGTCAACGAGGTAGAGATTTTGTGATTAGAAATCAACTAGATTTACTTTTTGGAAACTAATAAATATCACATAAATACGATTTTTATATTTTCATCCTTTGTCACATCGCAACATCAAGAGTGTAACAACAAGCAAAAGTTTATAAATAAGGTTATTTATTTTTCGTTTTTACAATGAGCATTTATTTCCATACACTCTGAGCACTGGGACATCGTTATAATAATATAATGTGTGGGATTGTATAGACTAAGACGGTAGATATATGTGGGTGGTAACTTTTTCTTGACAAAACCCATCATGGTATAATGGTTAATGGTCGTATTTTCGGTATTATTCGTTTGAGAGTGTTGGTCGTCAAGCATGCATCAAGTCAATACGGTGAGATGTCTCTGAAATCAATTATAATAGTCTACTTATCTTATGATTCATATGGCGATGAATGACAATTTAAAAAGCGGGACATATATTTAGCCCCCCCTCCCCCACCACTCCCCTTAAAACATCTTTTTATTTAGGAACTTATTTTATGTAAACACATTCATACACATAATATTATAAATGATATAAGAACAGAATACATTAAATTTATAATAGATTTAATGTATTCTGTGATATTATAAATGAGCTTTGTTGTATAATTTCTTAATGCATTTTATGGTAATAATATTGATAACTGTAATAATGTAACACACTAATAAATATTTTAATAGATAGGCATTAGTTATGCTTTAATTTCAACGAGATGTAATAATTATTTTCATTGATATTTTAAAATTCGGACATTATTGTAGTTTTCGCAATGGTATTGGTTATTCCACAAATATTTTTTTTTCATTTATCCACCCCGTGCAGTATATAGTTGACCTATGAAAAAATCATTAGAAAAATGGTCTGCGTCATTTAAACTTGGGTACTTATGGAAATGTCTATTCACTTACATACCCTTAGGTATGATACAATTCAAAAGTTGCCGCTACATAATTCTCTTTATTTTTCACACGACAAAGCTGCTGAAACCCTAGACTTTTGTAAAACTGTCAAAATTGTTATTATTATTTTTGTATTACATTATGACGTGATCAAGAATATGGCAACGTCCAGCCAAGACCCCATCGACAGTCACAAATGTACCCACCCCACCGTGATCATTGTCCGTTCGACCGTTCTTCTCCTTCTGTTCGTACAATTTTTCCTTTCTTCACTTAATTGGTAGGTTATAATAGTGGGCTTACAAGAAATGGTCTCTACTTCGTTAGTTGTCGCCCACCGCGTTCAAATTGTCCGTCTTCTTTGATTCACAGTTTTTCCATTTTACCCTAGTGTCCTCACAATTTTGGTTCGAAATTTATTTAACGACTTCCATGTCGGCCATATTACGTCAGATGATTCCCATGGTGGTAAGCGTCCTTTCTCGGGTCCTTCCCAAGCCGTGTGATCTATGTAATTGCACCCCCTCCCCTCCAATCATACTATTGATGGAATGATATTGTTCGCATGTGAAACCGTCAGGCGTTGGTGTCATGCGTGTCGGTCTCATGTCTGTCGATGGCCAAGAAAGTGAGATGGGAACTGGTGTACGACCCAATGCCGAACGACGAGTCATTCGATCGGTTCGCCGCCGCCGACCACCACGCCACCGTCAAGCTGATACAACAGCGGGACGAGCAACAGCGGCAGCGGGACGAGCAACAGCGGCAGCGGGACGAGCAACAGCGACAGCGGGACGAGCAGCAGCAGCAGTGGCGGTACCGGGACGAGCAGCAGCAACGGCACCATCACCACCACCAGCAGCAGCAACAGAAGCGGGACGAATGGCAGCAGCGGCGCGGCAGCAATAGCGACTCGCGGTACGCCGATAGCGTGTCAGAGGCCTGCAATTGCACAGAAATCCCCAAGGTGTACAACCTGACCAAAAACCACTACCCCAAAGAACTCATGTCGGTTACGTGCAGCGGCAACTGGTGCAAGACGGCCTCGTACCACGTGCCGGTGCTGTTGAAATCGAACACGCAACAGGTGGAAAACCAAGACGACCTGCCTGACGAGCTGCAGCAAAACGTCAATCACTGGAAGTTCGACTCCGTAAGAATCCCGGTCGCCTGCTATTGTTCTATTAAATAAACGACATTTTGTCTGCCTTTGACCTATATATTATAATATACCAAGACGCATAACACGACATTTTCACCGTTCGTTTTATCCTGCATCCCCCGCCTTCTCCTCCTGCTCCTATTTGTCACCGTTCAGTGCTCTATATCTATTACTATACCTTACACAATAGGCAAAGGTGGGCTTGTTAATAAAAAAAATTAATTCATGTTGATTCGAGTGAACTCGAGATCGTTGAGATAGAAGTTAATAGTTGACAAATAATATATATTTAACTTGACTCAGTTTATAATGATAACATGTAACGTTTTTGGTTAATGCGTGAACCGCATAAAAATGGTAATGTGTTATATCTTATTTCTTAAATTATAATAAACAATTTTATTGGACTTTTATCACCAAAATCGTTTGTTTTGTCATCAAGTACACTATAGCTCATAGTCTACACGTACCAATATATTTAACACGTCTATATTTAAATGTCGATTTAATTTTCAAGTTATTATTAAATTGTTTTCTTCATTTCTAGAATCTGGTTAGCGGCCGTATCGATCACAGGCAGTTCGACTTCGCAAACACCCCAGTCGCTTGCTTTTGTTCTCTTAAATAAATACATTATTTTTGTTCGCTTTTGACCCATATTATACCTTCATTATGACAGACCTCATAACACGATATTTTCACCTTTTCGATTTACCCTGCATCCCCAGTGGAGTGGACCAAGACGGCGTTTCAATACGAGCACCGGCCGTCACGACATTTCGAACCCGGCGTGCACTCTCTCTGGGCAGAGACAACTGTCTAGAAAAAGAGTATGGCGAAAACATCTATGAGTGCATTAATTATTTTCATAAATAAATCTTTGCACACGAAAAACAATTCTGATCGGAAACTAGTTGGACAATTAGTCTAGTAATAAACTAATTATTACCTACTATGTATGAATAAAAAGCGAGCAAACGGTCAGAATGAAGAGTTGGAGTTGTAAACCAACCTTCGGGTAGAAAAAAAATGTATAACGTATATTTCGTTTTACATACATTTATATTGCTATTATAGTAACTCATTTTACTATTATAAGTAGTACGAGGTATGAATAGGCAATACCTTGCAATTAGTGAAATATAATATTATTAAATATAAATATTTCAAGTCCCAAGAAATGTTTTGAAATAATTGATTACAGATTAAAATCATTAATCGAAATTTAAACTTTAATTGTCTATAAATAAATTGGTAATAATATATTTTTAGATGTAAGAATTGCTTATTGCTTACAAGACACCTTGAATTAAATTTGCAAGCCGAAGCTATAAAAAATAAACATTTAATATATTTTTGTTTTTAATTCAATATGAATATATGCATAATCTATGAAGGACATTTTATTAAACTTCCAAGCTCATTGACCAAGTGTTATTTATTTTGTCCATATGTATGAAAAAAAAACTAAAAATGTCGTAAATTTAAAATTTCTAGGTTTATAGAATGGTCTAAAGAACAAAAATTAAAAATAGTCTAAATATTTTGAAAGTTGTACCATATACAAAAAATGCTTTCATAAATATTTGCCAAATTTAAATTATCATCATAAATTCGTTTTCGAATTACAAAAAAAAACAAGAAAATCGAATTTGTCAAAAACTGATTTTGCGTTAAAATTTCGTTTACCTTTATTTTTATTTTTTTGTTTTTTTCCTACAATTATTAATACAAATACTGGAATTTTTCTACTCCTGAACCCCACAATGACGAACTAGATCCAATTTCTATCAAAATAGATACTGAAATGGAAGATCAAAGCGTTTTTATTGCTCCAAAAAGTGACGACAGACACAAAAAAAAACACACACACGTCAGTGTAAAATCATTCATCGGTCCACTAAGAATCTATCAAAAAAAAAAAATATATATAGTAGCTAGAGTAGCTAGCAGTGGTTTGTTTACTAACACTTTGTATTATATTATTACGAATTATGATAATATTATTATTGGTTTATATGTATCGCAGTATCTCATGTATGGGAAATACAATTATAATTCTCTCAAACACTACCGCGTTGTGGGCGTACGATTCTTAAGTAGTCACCTATTAGAGATTATTGTATCGTCGACGTTATACGCGTACAACGAGAACAGCAGAACACAATACAACATTTATTATGGTTATTGTAAGTCTTAGGTATGAAGTATATTTATATATTATGCGACGTAACAATATGGTAATCGGCTGCGTAACCAAAATTATTAAATGGGGGGGGGG